GGAACTCTGCAAAAAACGCATCTTCGCACGGGCAGCCCGTGCGTTGGCCAATTTTTTTTCTTTTATCAAAGGTCCAGAATTATAATCAAGCTGACTAAATTGGCGATGCAGCTTTGGAAAAAGCGACTCGAAAAGGTTGCCAGCTGTATAGCTGCTGGGGGAGAGACAGCGGAATTGCAAATGAATGAAATACCAATCAGAATAAATTTATTTCTTAAAATACAAAAATTAGAGAATAATTTTTTCCAAATTCTGTTGCATGAAGCGCAGCACATCCCCGCACGTAAGAAACTGTATGTATGTGTGCTTTGCTCGGATGTGACGTTTAATTGTGGGAATGTAATCGCAGGATGAGTTGGCCGTGCTACCGGAACCAAAACTGAATCGTTCGCATACGGATCCTGCGTTTGCCGCAGTTAGCAAGACCGTGATACCGGGTACAAGAAACGAGGAGAGTACGCGCGTCAGTGAATTGCCGCCGCCAGCAACATCACAGGTCAGCGTAATTATCCGGCTTATGAACAACTTGCGGGGGAAATACACCAGCAAGAAGGAAGAAAATGTTGCTTGGCTTTGTGTTTGATAACACTCTAAGCTTGAATATGAAATGAACGTATCATGCACCTTTTTTCACCATTCCATGGAATGGCATGATGCGAAAAACAGTGAATTGCAGATGAGGGATCGTAGCAATTAGGAAAATGTGAAAAAAAAATCAGCCATTGGTTTTAAATGCATTTCCAGGATACACACACAGTCATATACAGACACTCTGACAAATTGATTATGTACATATGCCTGTTTTTTGTGCTAGGACCACCTGGACAACAAATATAATCATCATACGTCAGTGATGTTGCTGGATGTCCCCACATGTCGAGCGCATTTTTGCCAGTCTTTTTGACTCTTGGGTGCATACCTTCAGTTAGTACTTACCGCCTGTTCAGCCTAGGCGTTGTATTTTTTCAGAGACCACTTGATCTAACGTTTTCTTTCTAACCAATGCACGATGTCAACTGTTTATCGGCAAAAGAGCAACATACGTTGAACATCTTTTGTATTTTTATATTCCATGTAAAAGAAACTAGCCTGAATAATACCAAGTGTCAACAGCAACTGCCTACTGGCAGGAACTTCCGATGGCGCTTATTTTCAAAGAATGCATAGAAGCAGCAGACAATAATAGTCCCAGCTTGCTGGAAAATGTCAATAGGAATTTATCATCGAAACGAATGAACGAATCATTGAGGGTTTAGTTATCCTACTGACGAAGTTAAATCCCTGATCTTTATCATGAGAGTAGTATTAGTTACAACACAACATATGTTTATGCTTGTGTTTGTCTCAGCAACATCAAAAGCTCACACTGATAGCCCGAAGGTGACAGCATGAAGATGATAATATTAGGTAAGGACGATTTGCGATAAAATCTGTAGGCAAGTTAAGTGTATTCTGGCTAATCAGTTTTTTTACGGGTCGAATCAGACGAATTAAACAGTCATGATGAGCTACCTGGTCGACAGAGCAATAATGACAAGCTGCCTGACTGACTGAAAAGTCGCAGCAGTTTCTCAGGGTCATTAAGAAATATGTCTTCCAATAAAATGAAAATAAAAAATCTATAAAATTTGATTTCAAAACGCAAAAATATGCGAATATTGCTTGAGATCAAAATTTTTTAAATTTCAGATCAGGCTTTATTAGATTTCAGTTGAGGCCAAGAACACCAAGATCGTCCAAGCATCACTATAGATATCCCAAGTTAGTGGTGCTACTGGAGTGCCACTAATAAACCAATAAAATAATGCACATTGACTACTGCATACGTAATGAACATTAACGGTTAAGAGGGCGCAAAACAACACACGCTAAGTATGTTAAAAGATTCTTTATGCACTAGCTTTTTGGTGTCCATAAGACTTAAACACGATACGATTGCCATGGTCAAAGTCCCGGGATTTTTTTAACGGTATTCAAGTCACTGTTATCACAGGATGCAGTAGAAAGTTTGCAGTCGTTTAGTCTCCAGCACAGTTTAATCAGAACGCATGTTGATGATGATGGTGATGATAGTGATGCCATATTTGCACTAACCTTTTATGTTTGCATTAGCTTTTCTCAAGAATCGACGACGCAAGTTAGCACTTCATTTTCGCGCACAATTTTTAATCCTCCTCATTTCATTTGCAGTGTGAATAGATGGAAAGAGGAGCTTTTTGTAGAAAGTGAGCATCAGTGCAAGCCACCGCTAGCCAGCAACACCTGCTTGCGCTGTTGCCAGAAGAGTATGTCTAAACCAAAGCCAAATGTGTTCAGGCCCACCTATCCGTCGTCTCTCATCTGAGCCACGGGGCCTGTTTAAGGCTAAAATGCACCTCGTCATCCTTCTCTTTTCCCTCCTTCTTCGCATTCATTCTCAACTCTTTCAGCAAAATCAATTAAATTGTGTAGTTTTCCCTCCCTCCCTCCCTTCCTTCTCTCCCTGCTTCCCTTCCAGCCTCAATCTATTCGTGCAAAATAGTTCTAAATGCTCATCGACTGCACACGAAAGACGATGCCTCAGTGAATTTGTAGGGTTCTCTGATTGGCCTTGCTGTGGTTATCCAGGCCTGAAAGCTGTTGCTACTCTGGCTTCCTAGCTGCTAAGGCACTGAAAATTATTGTCTTTTCTTCCAGCAGTTTTTTCTTAGAAGCTAATTTAGCTAATAGTGCTTGTAATGTTGAAGATTCTTTTAAACAAACAAAAGTCAAGGACTGATGCTGGACTGAGGACTGTGTCACTGGCAAGTGGGGGAGAACCATTCTGGAAAGGGATCGGATGTCTTTGGTTTGTATTCAGCGAGAAAGAGTTTGTCGATGCTTTTTTATGCGTTTTTGCATATATGTAAATTGCAAAAACGCATATTGGGAAGAGGCTGTGTG